AGTAATATTCTTGCTTGATTTGACTGGCGACAACATATTTATTAAACAAATATTTAGAATCTAGTTAGGTTAAGCAATCATATTACAATATACTAGATGCAACTTTAATTTTAAATTTATAATTTTTAAATATACTATATTTATTTTTATTAATCTTGTTACCAAATTTTTGAAAAATATAATATACAAAACAAATAATTAAATCTCAATGCAAACTCTTTTGATTTACTTTACTTTATTGCTATTTAACATTTTATTTAAATTTCTATTTTAATAATATTTACATACTTATAACATTTATTTTATTAGTTTTTGAAGCTGATAATATTATCAATACTCTTTAACTAATTGCTAACTTTAGCTATAACCAATCTAAACTTTACTTTTATATTAATAGTTCAGTAATACAGATTGGTACATCTTAATGCTCTATAGATATTAAATAGACCTTAATATAAGACAACAACATTATATATATTTTTTAAATACTAATTAAATTTTGATTATGTTCTTTTAAAGCAGAAATTAAATTCTTTTTTACTTTTATTATAGTATCTAAAAATTGTAATGTTCATATTTATACTGACTCTATTTATTATAAAAGCTAATCCTATATTTGGAACATTTTTTATATTTTTTACTAAGATCCATTGGTTGGCAAGAACAATATTCATCATAAATTCTTGTACAAACTAAACACACCAAACATACTAGACATGTATTTAAGGAAAACTCTAATTTTAAATATGTTGACATTGTTGTATAGTTCAAGAAAATATTATCACTATGAATTAAAAATATTGTTTTATATACTAATTACTCAAATCAAAAGTTTATCACTGCCGAATCATAAACTTATCGAATCGGCCTAACAATCATTCGGTCAATTTTCACCAGACGTTCCAAAATTTATGAGAACAGCTGTAATCGATAACGCAAAGTAGTAAAATACGCGGTGTTAGATATTATACCAGGTATTATTAAATTATCCAGTTATCCGGTAATTTATTATAAAAATGTGTAGTCGATTATCGTTACATAATCTTGATATAGTCACAACCTTGATATAATCACATTATTTTTATTTCAACATTATTGTTATATAGTCACAAACTTTTATAATCACCAGATTCTTGTTTCCCAAGCTGGTGATTATATCGAGGTTTGACTATATAATAGTTAGTAAAAATTTTTTATATAACGCTTGATGCGTTAAAACATTCATATACTATGTTAATTATTTGAATTCTTCACATTGAATACACGTTGAAAAGTGAAGCACTGTATTTAATTATTATTACAATACGATTGTTTAATATACAAAGTCAACTATTTCCAATAAAATCGAAAATATACATGTCAAATCGATATCACTTAAAACATTTAACTACCGTAAGATAATATCTAAGACAGTTAAAACACATCAGTAAAATGAGTTTTCATTCCGTAAACAAAAATCTAGAAACTATGTTAAACTTACATCAATTACAATACCCGCTGCAACAGTCTCACCACCCTTTCTCAACATGATTCTACCAAGTTCTTTGTTATCTTTAAACGCTTCTAGAGGAATTGGTCGATTAGATAGTTTTATTTCCACAGTAGCAGTTGAAGATTTAGGAAGGTGCCTTTAATTTCATTTGATTATTAATATTATTATAGTATCTTTGATTTCATAAAACAATAATTTTCCGAAAACAACTAACCTCGGATTTTTCTTGATTACATCTCCCGTATTCTTATCGATTATATTCACGAGTTTAATGACGTTAGCCGGCTCATTAAGGCTTTGCCGATGAAGTATAACCTATTAAAATAAATAGAATATTTATTTTTAAAGAATAGTTGTATAAATAAATTATTTTTATGTGGCAGTTAAAGTTAAAATTTGTATTTCTATTTGAATATATCTATTTGAATATACAAAACCAGCTTATACTCTTTTATTAAAGATCTTAATCATAACCCTAAAATACCCAAATAATTTTATAACTTACGGGAAACCCTCGTGTAATCGGAATTTTGACATCAAATACAACTATTCGAGCGAGGAAATGTGATGTAATAGGAACTGGTTGTGATGGTGGACACAAAACGGATCCAATCCTATTAAAAAAATCGAAAATTTGGTCAATATAAAAAAGTATATTGATTAATAGATTGATGCACTTAACATACTTAAGTTGCAGAATATCAAGATCTATCAAAGTCAATAACACAGAATCTCCAGCTGCAGCCCATTTAGATGACTCCTCATTAACCGTCAAAACTTTAAAACCCAAGGGAATCAGATAAACATAGTCAAAGTCAGTAATCTTAAATTAGGTGAAGAATTTTTTACCTTTGACTACGCCACGTTCACCACCGGGGATTACTGTAATTTCTTCTCCAACTTGTATTGTGCCACTTTCTATCCTGCCAGCAACGCTCACACCTCCAACATTTCCCAAACCTCCCTTGAAAAAATCAGTCACAGAAAGGCGAAATGGTTTTTCCAAAAGGCGTGTGGGTGGTTCAAATTTATCTAAAAACACGCATTTGGCTCAAATCATTGAAAAATAATCAAAACCAACTAACACAAGTTGATATAATAATTTATGACAAACCTATCTGCTCAATTAAAGTCTCCCCGTTATACCAATCTAAAATTCCTGATGACTTGCGCATAATGTTTTCCCCTATTAATCCACTACATGGTATATGTGCCACTTTATCTTTCTTAAAGCCAACTTGATTTAAAAAAGCACACAATTTTTCTACTATTTCGTCATATCGAGCCTTTGACCATTCTACCTGTGAATTTTTCTACAATTAAATCGATGTTTATCACTTATCGTATCCTGTAAAATATAAAGCACTTACAGTATCTAATTTATTTATGGCAACAATTAGTTGTTGAACACCTAAACTTCTAATTAATAATGCATGCTCTTTGGTTTGACCATTTGCTTCGAAACCAGATTCAAACTCTCCAACAGTAGCATCAACCACAAGGATAGCAACATCAGCCTTGTAACAAAAGAAATCAGCCAAAATTATAAATGAGAATAAAATACTCCCTAAATGCTTACTTGTGAAGCTCCTGAAATCATGTTCGGGATGAAATCCCTATGGCCAGGTGCGTCTAACAAAGTAAACCGGCGATTTTTTGTTTCGAAACTCCTAATAGCAATATCCATTGTAATACCTCTGAAAATTAAAAAGTACAATAATTAATTAATTTGAGGGCGTAATATAATACGAAGAAACTGTTCATGCAAACCTGTTTCGTTCTTCGCCAGTTTCATCAAGAACCCATGCATAAGCGAAAGATGATTTTCCAATTTTTGAAGAATCTCTTTCGTATTGTTTCATGGTTCTCTCGTTAACTTCACCAAGTAAATACAATAAATGTCCCATAAGTGTGCTTTTTCCGGCATCAACGTGCCCTTTCGTTTCGAAAATAGTCAATTTTTTAATTAAACTATATTAAACGAACACATCCAAACTTTTAATTTCTTATTAGCACATACCGATCACTACTAAGTTTAATGGAAGCTTGTCAGCAACTCGCTTTTTATATTCTTCAAGGACATTAATACGCTTTGAAGACTTTATATTTGCTTTTGTTGGGGTTTTTTGTTCGTAAAGTGATATATGAGGAGATACTGTTCCTTGATTTACAAGCCCATTAATAGGTTCTGCGATCTTGCTAAACGAAGTTTTTGATGATTCCGCCAAAGAAAGTGCATTAATATCGAATTTAAGTTGCTCATCATTGTCATCTAAAATTTCAATCACATCATCGTTCTCCTTAATTGATTCATCTAAATATTTTTTTGTTCCATTATTAGTTGTATTTACCAGTGGTGGTAACGGCGATGGTTGTGCAGTTATTTGTTTGCCTTTTTAGTCCGAAAAAAGAAAGATTTATAAGTCAACTAATAAATAATCTTTATAAATTTCAAAATGATATATACTTACCTTTTGATCCACCAGAGGTCTTTTTACTTTGGGCATTTAAAACAATATCATCCGGACTTGGTTGATCAAATGCAAAGCCTTTTTGATTCCTTGATCCTGTTGAGTAAAGTTCAAATGTGAAAAGGTCGTTAGAAGGTAACTGCACATCTTGCAGCTTTGCAAATATTGCAATGGCGAATATGGATGGAGGCGCAATAAGAGGGTTCGATGGTGACTGTACCCGTAAGGTACTTGTGTTATCTGCTAATGAGGAAGGTAGCATTGTTTGCTTTTGAAAGTTTGAAGATTGAAATCCAGCACTATATTTCAAAGAACTGTGTTCCACATTATTCAAATTAGGTGAAGCTGATGAATTAAAACCCGAATAGGACGACAACAGTTTCAGAGAAGGTGTAGAATCCGAGGTGTTTAGCAATGTCGTCAATGGTTTCGTTTTTGATAAATTTAAATTAGAAGTTAATTTTTGAGAGATTCCAATATTTAAGTTTGTAGCTTGTGATGAATTGATTGTCTTGCTTTTATTTGGTACAAGTTTTGTCAATGAAATTCGACCAGTTGAGTGAGATAAGGATTCTTGTGCCAAGGATGATAAAGATAATCCTTGTCTCTGAAGTCCAGAATTTGAAGGTATAGCTGAAGACAAATCTGATAAAGATGCATATGTAGATCTCGTAGAAGAAAGTCTTTGTTGCGAATTCGGGGTTTCTGAATCAGCGCCACCCAATAACCCGCCACGAGTAAAGCGACTTTGTTTTAACGCGAAAATGGGAGTCTCTACAGACGACCTTGGGTTGTTCAAAATGTGTCTCCAATTGACATTATGTCCTGACCAGATATCCCACAACGTAATACAACTTATTGTTCTATTGTTTTTTGGCGGTGAATCAGTTACAGATTGTGAACACTCAAGAATCGGTGTCTTTGTTCTAGAAGTTGTAGTACAAAGATGTTCATCTTCCAACAATGAACTGTTTGTATTAATGTTTAAATCTACCAAGTTTTGAAAGGAAATATCGAACAGAAAAATTCTTGTTAATGCATGGCCTAGGATTTATGAAGAAAATATAGTTTGTTTCTGTTTGATATCGTACATAATATTTTCAGTATATTTATTCCCCACCTTACCTACCGAGCCACTATCCATTTGTTCATGCAATTTAATGGAACAAAAATAAAAATACCAGAACCGATAAATCACCTTTGTTTTCTTGTGAGTTGTTTGAAGTAACTTGTTTTTGAGATCGTTTTTGTTTTCGTGCTTGAGATTTATGAACTTGATCTGTTAAGATAAATATTAATATGAATCCACATATATTATCTTAGTTAAATCAGAAATTAGGATACCTAATAACCAATTGATCGTTTGTTCTGTGTCAAAATAGTAATGCCATAATGCATCTTCGATATCTTTATCGGTGATACCTTCCACCTGTCCTATTACGCTTTTGACCTTTATCTTTCCTTCCTCCATTTGTGCTTTATTTGTGTAAAAGTCAAAAATATTATAAATATTGAAAGAGTAAAGAAATCAAATAACAACTAAAATTACATACTTTTCTGCTTTAATGTCATTTCAAAATTACCTAGGAAATTAAAAATATTTATATGTTAATTAAACTTTGGAGACCTTTCACAATAAGTGTACTTACCAGTTCCATAATCTTCATTCTCATCGTAACCATATTCTTCCTCAAAAATTTCTTAGGGAACATGTATGATTTAGTAAGAATATACTGACTTCAAACAATGAAAATTTGAATTCTGCACATAAACAGGTACCTTCAACTTTGAGTTTTCTTATGTTTCGATGGCGTGACATTGCTAAATATTGTACGGATCTACCGATCTTTAGTAATTATTAAAGCTACAAGCGTGTTTGCTTGTGAAATAATGGAACAAGTGTTGACCTTTAACTTTAGTTGTCACATGATTTTATATTAAGACGAGTGATGAATGATCTATATGCACCAGTGCCGGAGGTTCCGTTTAATTAAGTTGACTTCCGGCGTAGTTTTAAAGCGGCCGGAAATTTTATAATACGTACGTATAAAATATATTGCATGAGTTTCTAAATTTCGCTTACCGAAAAAAAAGCAGGTTACCGAAATTTTGTGCACTGATATGTACCACAACACAGTAGTATACAATCATATGATTTGTAAAGTTTAAGTAGATAATCATTTAACTACTATATGGTTGCTTTGAAAATTTCATTAAAAAAAAAAGATCACTAATTTCCGATTACTGATTTCAACATTTTTTTTTTATTTTTATTTCTATAAAAAATAATAACTTTTCGATTGATCGATTTTCGATTTCAGATTTTAGATTCATATTAGTAATGTGGGTAATACATCTACGTAAAACAAGGTTGAATAAATTATTAGCACTCGTTTATATAAACGTTGTGTCACGCGATGTTCGCGCCTTATAGGATAACTTGTAAGATAAAATTTGATTGGTTAACATGATATGTATTGATTCATAAAAAAATAAAGGGGGGGATGTGAATTAAATTAGTCTGACCTAATGTGGATTAACAAATGCACCAAATTGTTTTTTAAACGTTGGCAAGGATACAAGTTTCTAAATACCTCTGCAACAAAGGTGACAATGGTGTTACTAAATCGAGGAAATAGTTTCTTCCATGAAATTTATTAGCTGATATTTCAAACTTAGGCAGCAATCGTTGAGCAAAATAGGTTCTCACCAGAAGCACCTGTTATACTTAAGGGTACAATTTACTTCCAAATTTCCGAATTTTCAATACTGGTTACAGTACAAATATATGTTGATTTAAATCGATCAATCATTTGCACTTGATAAAGTTATTCTTATATCGCATAATATTAGCGCTCCCAATATATCCTCAATTTCTTCAAGCATGGTATCGTGATTTCAAGACAAATCTGCCTTTGGGCATAATGGATGTAGAAAGGCAAGTATTTGGTGCACCTATCAGGAAAGATATACTTCAACGAGCGGTCATTTGGCAGCGTGACTGTCTTAGACAAGGAACGCATTCGACCAAAAACCGAAGTGAAGTAAGTGGAACAACCAGGAAATGGGCTCCACAAAAGGGCAGGGGTAAAGCGAGAGTTGGTAGTCATCGTGCACCTCATTGGAGGGGTGGTGAGTATTTTTCTTCAAACGAATATAATTCAAAAAAAGATACACATAGAAATATATTTGAATTTCTTGTGACATGCTCTTTAACGTAAGTGTTCTTTGATGAATATCATAGAAATCAATTGCAAACATCCAGAAAAAAAGGAACCTTTATATTAGAGAATATGTCACAAGGAACTCCTACATACAATTATATCAATGCAAATATTCTGGTTTAAAGTAGTTAAAGTTTGAAAAAAAAAATCCGTATTTAAATCAGTTTGGTTTACATGATGATCAAATGGTGTAATTTGACATAATTTTTATGTTCTAACAATTTCAATTCAAATATGGTCGATTAAGGTGGAGTTGTTCACGGACCCAGACCACGTTCTCACGCAACTGACCTTCCACGTCAAGTCCAAGAGTTAGCCCTACGCTCTGCTCTTGCTACAAAATTTGCGCAAGATCAGCTTGTCATCGTTCAAGACGTGCTTTTAGAAACAGAGAAAACAAAAGAATTAAGGGCTATTCTTGATAGAAATGCATGGGACCCCCTTGCCAAAGATAGAAAGCAAGGTCATTCCATTCTGATCTTGACTAAAGAACATAAATATAATTTAGATCTTGCCTCAAGGAATCTGCAACGTGTACATGCTTTGACAGCAGAAGAAATTCTTGATGCAGGCGATGTTTATAATATCATCGGTCATGAAATTTTGATTATGGATAGGGAAGCGACAGAAATGTTGCAAACAGCATTGAAGCCTAAATGAAATATAAGCTTTAGTGTTTAGCATATGAGTCTCATTTTATTTGAAGTTTGTTGGAGCTAAAAGACAGCATCAAAATAATACAAGACATGTGAATACATACATTAGCTTTTATCTGAATTGAGGCGAAGAAAATAAATGAGCTTTTTTTTACCGTTATGAATTAACCAAAATGAAAAATTTTATTAGAATTTATCAGATTCTTTTTTTTTGAAATATAATTGATTCGTAAAGGATAAAAATCTATGAAAACGTTTAATGTGTATATATCGCCTTTTATTATAAAATGTATTTGATGGCTGATTTTATTCTAGTCTTATTTTATTAGCAGGTACGGTACAGAAAATTTAGAATAATACTTTAATAAAGAATTTAAATTTCATTAAAGGTCTATTCATGTATATACTAGCTCTTAGGCCCGGGCGCTGCTCCAGGGTTAGGTCTTAAATTTTTTATAGTTTTAATAATTTTAATTTATAATTTTTTAACTCTTAGACTTAGGTTTTACTCTAGATTTGTATAATAATTTTTTATTTAGATTTACTTAAACCCAGATTGAACCTATTTTGAACCAACCTTGAAACAACCTTGAAACCAACTTGTGTTTATTTTAAATTTAATATATATTTACTTTAATCCCAACTTGGCTTTATTTTCAACTCTAATTTGGTTTAAGTAATTCTAATTCAGATTTATTTTAAAACCAGGTTGGGTTTACTTGGCTTAAATTGGATTATTTTGAACCCAATTTGGATTTACTTAAATTCAAATTGTTTTTAAAATAAATTAAACTTAAGTATATTTGAACCTGAATCAGGTTTAAATGCACCTAACTTTGATTTATTTGAACCCAAATTGACTTAAGTAAATCCAGCTTTGGTTTATTTAAATCTCAATTGGGTTTAAATAAATCTAATTTTGGTTTATTTAGACCTAGATTGGATTTAAATTAACCTAGTTTGATTTATTTAAACCAAATTGGGTTTAAATAAATATAATTAGTTTATTCAAATTAGTTTCAAGCAAATCTGATTTTGGTTTATTTGAATTTATATTTGGTTTAAGTAAACTGAATTTTAATTTACTTGAACCTAGATTGGATTTAACTAAATCTAATTTTGTTTTACTTAAATTAGAATTAAATAAACTTAAATTTAGTTATTTGCACCTAGATTGAATTTAAATAAACCTGGTTTTGGGTTATTTGAACTTAGATTAGTTTAAGTAAACCAAATTTTAGTTCACTTAAACATAAATTAGGTTTAAGAAAACCTAATTTTAGTTTACTTAAACATAAATTAGGTTTAAGAAAACCTAATTTTAGTTTATTTGAATCTAGATTAGATTCAAGTGAATACTTAACTTAGATTTGGTTTGAGTGAACCTGATTATAGTTTATTTAAACTCAATTTAGGTTCAAGTGAACCTAATAAAATTTTTAAAAAATGAATAATTATTTTTAAATCCAAACCAATTTTATATATGACGTGCTTGATTTATATTAACTCAAGTCCTCTTTTTAGCAGCATTCGGTCCGTATAGTGGTTCAATATTATTTTTAGTGGTTTAAATACAATGAATGCCCTTAGAAAATAACAATATACTTTCTGTCATGATATTTGAAATCTTTATCACACATAACAGTTGTCTTGGCGACGAATTTTTAATTTTCTACGTTATCTTTATAGTCAAGATTACATGTACGTAGATCCTTTGGGATTTCTCCATTCTATTATTCGATTACAGACTATATTACTGTATTAACTAATTGATATATTCATTTATTAAATCAAAATTCATCATAAACTAATAAAATAGAAAATATAAATCGGATATAAACCGAATTAGAATATAATAACTGATAACTATTTATGAATCCGGATTAGAAATAACTATTTAATATCCGATTAAATATCCGGCTCAAAGTATTACTTATACAGCCCATTCGCATGAATGTACTTGATTACCGCATTAGGAAGCAAATACTTTATGGACATGCCACGCTTCACGAACAGGCTATGGCACAAACAATGATTAGTGAGTCTTTAAGTGATTCAAAGCAAATAATAGAAATTGAGTGAACTTCGTACCGAACTTTCGTAGAACTGATATCATTATAAATCAACTGCTTGATTACGTAAACGTTTTTCTAATAAAAAAAAAATATACGCGTATGAATGAACGAAGGTTGGTATCTTTAAAGAAATATAAAATTATGGTGAAATTGAAAATCTCGTAATCCTGAGATCAAAGTCCAATGATTTTTATACCATTCGGTTCCTCTCTTGAGATATTCAATCTCCCACATAATACCTTATTTTAGGCATATACATATGTATATTGTGCCTCAAATCGATTTTTGTCTAAGGTGATAACTGAGACACTTTAGGTGTTGATCGATTGGCCGGCATTGACTGATCGACGTTAATTGGCCTAAACTATAACCTAATCCTTACTCTAATTTAGGCCGATCGACACCTGAGACATGAATCGATCTGGGGCACAACGAAAAAAAATTTCAAATACCCTATACTGGTATAATATATCATGTGATAGTAAAAACCCCCACACATCTGCACCAGTTCTTTCAACTATGAGAACTCCGTAATCGCCTAAAATATGATGAAGCTAATAAAAAAAAAAAAAAAAGAGCATTATAAGATAGGTTTTCAACATATAAGTAAAAGAAAGGTAATGATAATGTGCTTAATACGAAACATACGTCTTCATCTAACCAAAGCTTTGGAACCTTGAACGATTCAATTAGATCACCACCAGCTAAAAGCATGACTTTGACCTTCCGAGATTTGCCTTTACAAATAATTTTAATGAATTATTTGAGATTAAAACTTATTTGATCAGAACAAGAAATTAATAAAATTTTAAATTCAATCAACTTACCATCTGTTGTCACAATACCGCCACGTTTATTATTAATTTCCTCGTTAAAGTGATCCATAACTATAGCTGTCTGCGTATATTCAGACTGTAAACTTTCCCATGCATCAACCATTAGCCATTGAGAGGTTCTTTCAACGGCGAGTTCGCACATACGAACTCTATGATGAGAAGGTGCTAGTCCTTCCTTTATATAATGATCCGATACGGGGGAATAATAACCGCCAATAATTTCAAATCGGGTATTATCTGTTATATAATCTTTTGCCATCTCTGAGAACTCGATATTGTTATAAATAAATACAATCAGTTGACAAAACACAAAACAGAAAAAGATCCTATGAATGTAATATATTTCTCACCGAATATCCGTAAATGAAGATACGTTATTGGTGAAAAAGATCCACATGCGATAATAGCAAGGGGTTCTTTCGTCTCATCTACGGTATTTTGATTGATGTAATCGTATATTATTCAGTGATAACTTATTTGTACCTAGTCTACTAAACGAAAGCGCCAAACGAGCAAAATATGATAAGCAAGCGCCAAAGTTTTGTGCGTGTTTGTTTTTTTTTTTGGTACAAGCCGCAGTACGAGCATATAGCGCGTGCTTAATACTTAGTAACAACTCAATGTACCACTTCTCAGAATGCCTAAATGTTATTTAAAAAATTGGTGGCTTCGTTACCTTCAAGTCGAGACTTAAGCCTGTGTGATGGAAAAAAGTAATCTTCCAACCTTGAAGGTTGGAGTTTAACAATAGGATCGTCGTCCTCTCGTTCGGTAGCAGAAGGTGAAGTATTAGAAACACTTTTTTGAATAGTAGTCATGTTAATAATCGTTTCGCGGACAGTAAAGCACGATTTTCCGTCGAAAGGATGTTCTAACACTTGAACAAAAGTACCATTTTTAAAGTAATACGTATAAAAAGTAACATTTTTACGTCATTAGATTTCCCACGGTCTTGAATACAATTGGATGAAAATTCAATAACAACTATCACTAAATGATAAGAATATATCGGATGATGGAGTCTCGATTTGAAATTTATTTATATTAAAAATAAGTCAAAAAATCCAGTATCATCCGATTTCAGCATCATTCAACAATATTTAAGTTGATCCGTTATTTTCTCCGCTAGTTATTAAAATGTCCACCACTTCTACCACGGCACAACTTGCAACAAACTCTCCTTTCACTTCACAAGAGAAGACACAGTCTGGTCAAGGTGAAACAGTGAAAGTTCGCTCTTCCAAATATATAATAAGAACACTATATGCAGGTGGCGTTGCGGGCTGTGTGGTATGTTTTAGCATTCAATTACTTCTACATTAGCAAATTTGTTAACTTGGCACAAATACTTCAGGCTAAGACAGTGATCGCGCCGTTAGACAGAGTGAAAATCTTGTTTCAATCAAGCAATCCACAGTTCCAAAAATATGCAGGTAGAGTTTGTTTTTGCAAGAATTTTCCAGTATAGACAATCTTATGGAGCGTAGAATCCATTAGGTTATGCCAAATTACTATAACAGCAACAAATATTTTCTTTGATAGGGTCATGGGTAGGTCTGTTTCAAGCCACTCGACAAATATACAATGATTCGGGACCGAAAGGTCTGTTTCAAGGACATTCAGCAACACTCATCCGAATCTTTCCATACGCCGCGATAAAATTTGCCGCTTTTGAACAATTTCGTCATGTAAGTAATATTATACATCACATAGTCTGAATATAGTTTTTCGACTAGTTGTATTGATTGGATAACTTTACTAGCTTTTAATGCCGACGAGGCAACATGAGACGCGTTATAAGAATTTTGTGGCAGGTTCTATGGCTGGTAGTGTATGGCGAACCATCCTAGCGTCACAAACCTAAAAGATTTCATTGTCGGTTAAGTCAAAAATTTCAAGATCAGATAAACAAAAATGTGTACAGACCCCTAACACTAATAGCGAAATTTTTTAAGTTGGTGACGTTAGGGTCCTAGTATGATTTAAATGCTTTAACTAATTTAGTTATTTTATTTTTTACTCAAGGCGTTACATCTGTACTCTGCACTTATCCGCTAGAACTTGTGCGTGTTCGGCTAGCATTCGAAGTTCGCAAGGATTCGCGTGTTGGCATTAGATCAATATGTAAACAAATATATCATGAAAGCGCTGCATCACATCGACGCTTTCTTCATTTTTCAATCATGAATTTTTATCGTGGATTAACACCTACTATAATGGGCATGATTCCATACGCTGGTGTCTCTTTCTGGACACATTATACGTTATCAGAATTTTGTAGGACGACATTAGCGAATATTACAATAAATCCATCTTTAATTGCTAGTAAAAAAGATTCAATAGACCAAGAAAGAAGGGTTCCATTAAAAACATGGGCAGAATTGACTATTGGGGGTCTGTCTGGCGCTATATCTCAAACAGTATCGTATCCACTCGAAGTAATTCGACGTAGGATGCAGGTATATGGTGCAATAGACCCTTCGAGTTTTGTTAGTATTCAACAGACAACGCGAAATATTTGGACCACAAGTGGATTAAAAGGATTTTTTGTAGGGTTAAGCATTGGATATTTGAAAATAATACCTATGATTGCTGTTTCTTTCACGGTTTATCACAGAATGAAACTATATATGGACATATATTGATATGTACAATCAAACTCTCTATAATCACCGCCTTAACAAGTACACCATATAAAAATTCTCTTTATAAAAACACCTATTCTAAAACCAACTATTAAAATATAGAGGAAAAACCCTCTTTTTTTTCTTACATTATAATCAAAAACCATTCATGAAACAACCACCTAGTTAATAATTAGTCAATTTTACAATAGTAATTTAATAGTATTTCATCCTCAACTTAAAACAACGCATAAATTAAATCCCATTTTTCTGAAACCACGTTACGAGCTCTTCAAATAATGTCCAACCAATTGCATTTTGCATCGATTTCCTTCCAAGGCGAAGGGTAAGTCCATCAAAAAATCTTAGAAAACCTTCTTCCTTAAGGGGTTAAAAAATCATTGAGATATTTATCAATTGAAGACGAATACGAATCAAGTGTAAATACCTTTAAAACTTTCCTTGCTCCACGAAACATATTTGAATACTCATAAGGTTTTAACTGGATTCGTGTCTTAAGCATATCAAAAGGATGTGTTATCAAAGCTGCCAAGGATCCCGAAAAAGTACCTTTAGAATAAAGAATGTATATAATGAGTAACTAAGTATTAAATGTGAGTGAACATTACATATCAGTTACCTGAAATCATGTGGGTAACTGTTGGTGATAATGAGGGTGAATAATCTATAAACAAATATATCACATAAATATATTTTAAATGTTAACATTATACTTGTTGGTCAAACTAAAATAATTTTCAGAATCCCACCCAAATCCTAAGCATAATAAATCGGTTCTAAATCCCTATTAAAATCGATCACATAGGTTTTGCCCGCAAGGTATATTTTATTATTATTATGATTTAGAAAGATTAATTACCTTGCAATGTGAGTTTGAAACGTTCATAAAACAAAACATTTAAGCCTGCAGCAGGCGCGTCCTTGGTGACAGTAGCGCCATATCCGTAAAACAGGCCTAAGATAAATATATAATAAATCCTGTTCGTAAAATTATAATATTCATAAAACCAAAAATCTATGAAAATTATTTATAGTAAATACCTTTGACACCATCAGTCCTAACTATAGATGATAAGGCATCCCACATACTTTTGTAGTTATAGAAATTGCTCTATAAATTCGAAGGAATAATGGCTTGTAAATGATTGAATATATTTAATCAATTGCATTCATGAATTAAATTAGAGAAGTAACTAAAAGATGTGCTAATTCAACATCATCCATCGTTTAAATCCCCGATAATAACCACACACTTACCTCATACCTGACTTTAACAACAGTAACGGGCATCATCACGAATCCAACGGACCCCCTAGCTACCATGCCAGAAATTAAATTTTCTTTATCTGATAATACAGGCAAAGAAGAACCGGTGATCGATCTTTGTGATACAGAGCTCGATGAACTAATTTGGTGTCTTAATGAAAAAAGATTACGAATCTGTGACAAAGCGGAATAATATAGTGCGGTACCGGGAACATTACTAGAAAAAGATAAAATTTAGATCATGACTGAAATTAAAGACAACCAAAACTATAGAAAGTGAATTACCGCATAATTGTTGGAATAGTGCCTCGCCATAATCCAAAAATCGATTCTTTAATAATAATTTCTCTGACAGTGTGAATAAGTGTGCTATAAACAATAGCTCATTGAGAACTATTAATTCCTATCATCAAATAACAAGGGATTAAGCCGCGACACTGATAAACTATCTTAATGAACCTCTTGTAAAATAGTTGCATCCGTGTCAATCCTACCTATTCAGTGGTATTGCTTTCTGACCTCTTAAAAGTCTGTTTTGTCGTTGTCTTTCTTGCTGTAAACGCGTCTTAACAAGATCAAAGGGTTGCAGGAGAAAGCAAGAAATTAAACCGGAAGTTGCACCCGCCATTAGGTACGCTCTGTTCTCGTTTTTTTGCAAAGAGCCCATTTTATAATTCTATACCACTAAAACTCAATCCCAAACATACTTTTTATACAAACAACACTGATCGTCATCTATAATTTCCATAATTGTTTATAGTTACCAAAATTGATCATTATATTCGATAATTCACACCTTTAATTTCTGGAGCGAAATCGTGATATGAACACATTTAATGATTATAAACTTTACAAATCAAATGTCTTCAGTTATTAAAATGATAACGTTACTATAGTATTTAAAGAGTATTTACTGAGTTAAACCTTATAATAAGCTTAATAAGTTCAATACCATTCGATCAATGGTTATTTTTTTTCATTACACCCTAAAATTTTCGATCCCATCTCTTTCTTTCTAGAACCTCAACTGGAAGATTTGCAAAGCCATGTGAACGATGCTGTTCTAGATATTGCTTTAGCATCATATTTTTAGACGGCTCGGATCGAATAAAAGATCCGATTCCCATAAATAATGCAAAAGAACCTGCAGAAGAGATCATATATCGACTGAGTGTAGAGAGGTAGCCTCCTTGACTTGGACCAAATCTTATAAATGACAGCAATTACGTAAGTTTTTTAATACAATGATAAACAAATCCGATAACTCTATTCATAAAAATAATATATAATAACAACGATAGTAATATCGATATTGAGTACGTACCGGAGGATATGATATGTGCCAAACGCAAAACCAAGACAGACACCAACAGCACCACCCATTAGTGCGCCTCTTTTCAGATATTCTATTCGCGAAGGCTGTTCCATTTTTTCTATTTCTTATGATTCATATACAGAATAAAAGGTTACGTCTTGTTTCTTAAACCGCGAAAAAAATAGATGATACAGTAGATGCAGATTACTTTGAATTTCTACATGATAATGTGACTTGATCAATCACATGAAATTAAATCATTACGTAATGTTCACTGCAATGTAGATTATCCACCCTAGCGCTAGAGTTTGGATGAATAGTAGTAGAGTATAGTTTAATAAAGTAGTGGAATATACTGCCAAAATCGCATTTGAGTATATATACAACTAGCATACTATACTCATCATATATATCATACATATAAAATAGCTTATTATGATTTATCTGTCCAATAATTTTATTATTGGGAAGAAACGAAAGTTTAAATAGTTTAAAATAGTTTAAACTTTGCATCTGCCCAATAATTTTATTATTGGGCAGAAAATCATAATAAGATGCCGGATAAACCCGTTATCAGGCATGCTTATAACTTAATTATTTGGTCAAGAATTTTAAGGTCAGCCTAAAAATTGAATCCCTTCGGAATAACAGGAGGAACCGTCGATGTTACACGACTGATCCTTCACCCGGTGTGCAGCATATAAAAAAATTATTTTACAATACCAGATCATTCCGCTAGTACATGTTATGATTATAATCCCTCACATAATAAAAATGGTGTGGGATTATAATCATAACATGTACTAGCTGAATGATCTGGTATTGTAAAATATTTTTTTATATGCTGCACACCGGGTGAAGGATCAGTCGTGTAACATCGACGGTTCCGCCTGCTAAATCCTCG